TGTGTGCTTCATGGTTTGGTTTCAGTCCTGTCCTTGTCCACGGGAGAGACTCGGTGCCATGTAGGTTTCTATCTTTGCTGCCCCAGGTAACTCTTCTTCGGATGCCGTTAAGACTGGGCCAGTAGCTGCGCATGCTCCGCTGTTGCGGCCTGTTCGTTCATTGTGTTGGCTCCTTCACATCAGAGAGCGGCACCATCAATTTTCACAAGGTTGCAGCCAAGACTCTTGTTCCATGAACCCTTGGCACCCAGATTGACAGGGCAGCTGTTGCCCTGAGGTGTTCACTGTCTGACGGGTGTGGGAGTCCACTCCTGATCCCAGAGCTAGAAGGAACCTGAGCTTGACAAGCTCGCCACCTCCTCATTTCTCAGCCGTAACGTAGTAGCAGGAAAGTTGGGAGTGGCTGACGACACAGCCCGCTCCTAAGTGGAAGCGGGGTCTCCTATGAAATACTGGTTTTTCTGTCAAAGGCTATTCATCTGTTCTGTTCATTTTCTGAACCCTAAATGAGTTGCTGCAGGAGCATGGTGCGTGGTGTGGCTCTCTGTGAGGCCTGCTCTGAGCCTCTGTGCTCAGGAAACCTACCCCCTGCACCCCGGATCCTGCCCTGGTCCCCCGTGCCCGCTGTAGAGGCAGAATTAGGAAGCAGCTGGGATTCTGGTTCTGTGTAGGCATTGCCAGTCTGGATTGGTGCAATAACTCACTTTCTTGGTTCTTACAAAGTGATCTGCTGGAGAAAGGCAGTCTGCAAGCTGAGTTCTGTCTGAGCCTTCCAGGCGGGGGTGCGGGGCCCAGCACCGAGCCGCAGCCATGTTACCCCAGCTAGGCAGTCCTGTCGGAGTCCAGTCCCCCAGTAGTGCAGACGGCACAGCTCGGATGTGCCCCCAGCTCTGCCCGTTTCGGTGGGCAGGGGCAGTTCCCCGTCCTGCCTGCCCCCTTCCCAGCTGACACTGCCTGCCTGACTCGCCCTCCCCAGGGGTCCATGTGTGTCCTGTGCTCTTGGCTCCTCTGAATGAGCCCCTGCCCTGCCACTCTGACTCCTGGGCCTGCCCCTGCACTTGACCCGCAGCCTTGAATCACAGCCTTTCTGCTGACGTTTAATTCCTCATCCACACCTTTCCCAGCGAGCCACCACCTAGCAGTGGTCAGAGCAACACTCCTAGATTTCAATCTTACCCACTCACTAGGCTAATGGTTCTGGACAAGTGTCAGACAATTTTACTACTCCTTACTGGGAAATCATTAATATAAATTCTTTTACATTGCCTGGCGATAAATCTGCTCAAGTGCTTAGAGTAAAACCAGAAACTTACCTGAATACTGTAAGTATTTAAACTGAATTTAATCTTGACTTCTAACTTATATATACTTTTATTGAGCGTTTTTTAAAAATCCAGGTATTTCAGTATGAGTCATTGTATAGCAATGTAATATGGTTAAATGCTTGGGTTCTAGAGCATTAGTGACTGGGTTCACATTGTGGATCCTGGATTAGTCGTATGTGTAACTTCTCTGAGCTTTTCCTTTTCCCTGTGTAAAATATCCCTTGTGCTGTGCACCTGGGGACTCCAGAGGAGAGGCTCAAATGGACGAGAGCGTGCCGGCCTGCCCCAGGCCCAGGAGACGGGGCTGTCACAAATGCCTTCACTCGGATTCTCCCCTTCCTTGAAGCCTGCTTGTGTTTTCAAGCGTACGTTCCCTTACTTGCTTCCCTGAAGTAGCAGGCCTGGTTATTTTGAAATGTGTGCGCAAGCCCTCGTGTCTGATGATGGGATGCTGTGGAATTTGTGTTCATCTTGGCTACTGCTTTTGGCTTTGAATTCTTCCAATGAGCTTTGCTCCCCTAGGAGGGAGATAACTGTACAGTCAAGTACAGGCAACAATCAAGTTCAGGCTTGATTGAGGGCTTTCCGTGACTAACTGGACCTTCTGCTGAGAGGAGGGACACAAAAGCCGTGGGGCTGGGAATGTTGGAGCTAAAGGTCAGTGTAATAATCTACATTCTTACTGTTTCTAAAGAACTTGCACATCTCTTACAGTGTCATCTTACAGGTGAGAAAGGGAAGTAAGAGGCGGTGCAGGCTGTGGGAGGCAGAGCTCGTTACTTAGCAAACTCTGGACCGAAACCCAGGGTCCTTCTCAAGTCCTGTTCTGAGACGAAGTGTGCCGCACAGCTGCAAAGGGGAGCGTCCCGTGTGTAGCAGGTGGTACTAACCCTTTAGAATTAGGGAACCGCAGAGCTGGTCAGTGCTGTCCTTCATAAGCAGGCTCCCATCCTTTAAATCTGCTACCTGAAATGAGGTCTCCGTGCAGACAGGCGTGTGTGGAACCCAGCCTCGTTGTCCCGCCTGGGAGCCTCCGGCAGCACCCCTCAGACTCCCAAGGGAGGGAGCCCTGCCCGTGGCCCTGGGCTGTTAGGAAAAGAGCCCGCCGGTTTGCCTTTGTGGGCTCACGTTCATCCTGCTTTCTCAGTTAAATCTGTTAGAACGTGATGTATAGGATGTTAAAAGGTACAAAAGCAACCTCAACACTGAGCAGCAAAGGTACTAACAGGAACTTGGTAAATGTTCATGTGTCATTCCAGTGCTGCAGGACTTGCTAGAGACCAAAGTGAGTGTGTTGTTCTGCAGCTTGCACCTTGAGGCCCACTGTTGCTGTGTTAACATTAAGGTTAACGTCCCCAGTGTTTTAGATGTAGGCAGGTTTTACCTAGAGCGGGACCCACCCTTGCACAGGTTGAGGCAGAAGTGAAAATGTGCTCACAGCTTCCGCTTCGATACAAACACTGGGCACGGACGGAGCCAGGACTCAGGGGGAGGCTGCGGGCCCATGGAGCCAGGACTTGGGGGGAGGCTGCGGGCCCATGGAGACTTGTTGAGTAAAGACAGAGACAGTGCAAACGTTGAAGGTCGCGAGATGGTTGCAGCTTTGAAATAACAGCTCTGTTCCCACCGTCTGCTGCTGGAACCCCCACGCGGCCTCCTCTCCACATGCAGGGCTGCTGTGCACATGCCCATCGGGCCGCACTGAGGGTCCTGGCTTAGCTGCAGGTGCCGTCTGTGGCTGGCTGGCAACCCAGATGATAGGTCATCTTTGCATCTTCCTCAGAGTTGCCCCTGCTCTGCCCCCAAGGCATTTGATTTTCCTGCCTCCACTGCAGCAAGTGTCAGCGTGCCATGGTAGACCCATACTCCTGTCCAGCATCAGGGAAGGAAAGGGCCTTCCTGGCAGTGGACAGGCCACCAGCTGATTTAATTCTTGCCAAGTGCAAGTGCCTTAAAAAAAAAGCGAATCATCTCCTGTCCTCTCGCCTTGCCCCTGAAAAAAATCTACTCCTAATTATTTCCATTTGACAAATGAATTATTTTTTTCTGTCCAGGCAGCATAATTCGTTGTATGAGGCGCCTGGAAGAATTGCTCCGACAGATGTGTCAAGCAGCAAAAGCCATTGGAAACACTGAGCTGGAAAATAAGTTTGCAGAAGGTCAGTATGCAGTTCATAGACTTTATCTACAAATGATGGCAAGCCGTGTGTGACATGAGTTCTAAATCATAACCTAGGGGGATACGCCCACTGGGTCACCAGGCAGGGCCACCAACCATATTTCTCTAGAATTCTAATGTTTGTGGGATGAAATTTTGTCATCCATGTTGTTTCAAAAAGCTGGTAGGAATGGGATTAAATAAGTGCAAAATGGGATTATTTAAGTGCAAAAAAGATTAGAATGCATGTATATGCAAGATCTTCAAAAAGTTAAGAAACGTGCATATTATGAAAACACTGGGATTTCAGACTTTGTTACACCAACATAGGCATCTTTCAGTTCCAGTTTTCCCCCCTCATGTTCCTGCTGGTGATGAGTCGATAAGAATTGCCAGCCGGGCTTGTGTGGAAGGCCCTCAGATCTGCCCTTTGTAGACCTGAGTGACAGGAAGCTGGTAGGGCTTTAGCAGAGGTAGGGACCGGAAAGAGAAATGATCCTGTTGGCACCAGCGCCGAGCACAGGTCACCCTGGCTGCTGCAGTGAAGGCAAGCCTGGAGTAGCAAGGGGGGCCAGATCCCTAAAGGATGGCCAGGCCGAGGTTTGGCATTGACACCTGATGTTGGCCAAGAAAGAGTATGGAAATTTAAGTATCTGAGAGGGGCAGCTGAGGCTCTGAGCTAGTCCATGATGGCGATTTTTGAACTAAACTGTTTTGTAAGAACTGGCTTATGTTTCTGCCTAGTTGAGATGCATCACTCACTCAGGATTTAAGCTTTGTCTCTTGAGAACTTTAAACAATTTTTATTTTCCTAGCCTTAGTCTAAAAATTTTATAAGGAAATGCAAAATATATTGTCTTTGGATATGCAAAATAATTTTTCATTATCTTAATTTCATGAACTTGCCAAAGCCCTCAGCCCCTGTGGGTTGAAAATCCATGCTAGCACCTGTTCCCAGCTTAGCTCTTCCCAGAATAGCCCCTAACTACACACACAGCAGCTATTGTAGAGTCACGTGAATAAGAGGTTTCTACGTGGGTTTGCTTGTTGAACACTTGTGGGTGTTTTTCACACAGAAAAGTATCCCGGGACTGTGGGGTGCTGGTGGGAAGCTGTGTGCTCTACGGTCTGAAAGGTTGAAACCTTTCTCTTCTTTTAGGAATCACCAAAATCAAGAGAGATATTGTGTTTGCTGCCAGCCTCTACTTATAGAGCGCCACCTGAAGGGATATGGGCTTGTAAATTATTTACCACCTGGCTGATTAATCAACTACAAATTTACAAGTATTTTGATTTTCCCATCTCAAGACACTTCTCAAACATTTTAATGTGTATTATGTTCAAATGAAGCATCATTCTAAGAAAGCATATTACATACACATTTGTACATAGCATTACTTTAATAAAAATGTACAGGTGGGGAGCTCTTAGTTAGAAGGCTTGAAATTTTCTTGGTGAACGCAGAGCTAGAAGATAACCATTGTGTTACATGTAACTATTTACACACAGGTCAGTGGGCCTCCCGGAGGTAGAGCAGCGGCGGCAGTCCCTCCTCGGCCTGTGCCCAGGATGGCCGCGAGCTCCGGCCTGGCCTTCCGGTGCAGTCACTTGCTGGGCAAGCAGCCGGCTCCGTCCGGGCCGCCGCCTCATGGCTGGTGGCTGTTCCGGTAGTGATTCCCCGCTGTGGGCGTCTCGTGCAGAGTCGTGTGCGAATCCTCCTCTTTCCGTTCTTTAAAAGGAGAGTTTTTCTTTTTGAAGAAATCCGACACATATACAGCCTGTGTGGAACAAGATAGAATAGGGCAAAATGTTGAATAGCCCAGTCTGCCTTGGTGTATGAAACGGGTTTAAAACCAGAGGAGGCAGTTTGCAAATTAGATATACAGACATCAGAATTTCTCCTGCACGAGAAGCATACAAAAAAATAGCAGCTCACTTATATTTTTAAAAGATCATTCCAAATACTTTTATGTCTTCTCCAGAAACTTCAGTTTTTTTCAGTTTGTACCAAAAAGAATTATTTATAGCCAGAGTTTTCTATAGTAAAAATACTAAGATTTTGCAGGTAATAGCCTGATTTTCAGTTCTCTGAGGTGACCTGCAGTGACATCAGGATTGTTCTCTGTGAAGACGTGCTGGGCCGCGTTCCCCATCTGTACTTACCACCAGTACCGCCACCAGAGCGCCTTGAACGAGGCCGGTCAGCACGTCGCTCCAGTGGTGTTTGTAGTCAGAAACACGAGAGAGGCCCACGTAAATGGACACAGCAACAAGACCAAACTGCAGTGTGGGGCGGAGGAGTCTTGCCCAGTCTCCCTTCATCCTGGCTTGAAGATAGAGCTAGCGGGAGATACAAATGAAACAATCTTTTTTAGCATACCACCTGGGAGCTAGTTAAAGCAGCACCACAACGTGTAGAAAGCTGCTATTTAAACTAATTATCTAGGGCCTGGCCTGATGGCGCAGTGGTTAAAGCCCTCGCCTTGCAGGCCCAGGATCCCATATGGTTGCCGGTTCTAATCCCGGCCCTGCTTCCCATCCAGCGCTCTCTACCTGTGGCCTGGGAAAGCAGCCGAGGATGGCCCAAAGCCTTGGGACCCTGCACCCATAGCGGGAGACCCGGAGATGGAAGATATTCCTGTCTCTGTATATCCACCTTTCAATAAAAAAAAATTCCCTAAGCATGGTGGCACCATAAGTTAAGCCACCAGCTGGGGTGCCCACAGGGGCTTCTCATTCAGCTTCCTGCTGAAGCCCCTGGGAGCCAGGATCTCCCGATGGAGATCGGGGCTCCTGGTCTAGCCTTCACTGCGGGCATCTGTGGACTGAATCAGTGGATCAGTCAGTCACCCTGCCCTTTGGAAAAGGTTGTCCAACTCTTACGAGCCAGCATTCTTTTTGTGCACTAATCAGACTCAAGATTATCCTCTAAGTGCATCTGTACCTTAAGATTTTAAGTAGAAAGAACTCTTCAAAAATCTCTTTCAAGTAGATCATTGATCCAGCAGCCCAAACTGCATCTAGCCCTCCTGTCTGTGTGGCTGGGACCGAGGTACTTAAAGCCAGCACCTGCCTCTTCCCAGGCTGCATTAGCTGGAGGGTGGCCCACAGGCACAGTAGCCACGACCCCAACTGCACTCCCATGTAGGTTCTAAGTCCTAAGTTCTATTTAATAAAAATACAATTTTTAACATCCATTTAAGAACTTCACAACTTTGACTCAGACTTAATTTCAGTGCAGTCCTCAATGATATTACCTAATTAAAATAGATAAGCAAATCCATGCCATGGTCTTTGGACACTGTTTTGGGAGTTCAGCAGCTGGCAAAAACCCCAGGACTGTCTAATTTTGTCAAGCTTTTAAAAATAAACATCTTTTAAAAGCATGCACCACCTGAGCTTAACTGAGTGACTCAGCAGCTTCAAAAGCAAGCTCATAGAAAATGGAATAATAAAGATGCAAAAGATGTTACATGTGTATTATATGCATTTTCCATAAAGCTTGTGAAGGCCCCTCCTCCTGCAGTAACTGCCATGGACTCAAGTCACGATCAGGCCCCACACACAGCCTCTACCCACGGAGGACGAACTACGTCATGGGAGCCGAGTTCCACAGCCACTAGTGCCTGAAACCCTGGGCTTGGATTTCTCGCTTTCCGTGGCCCTTGCTGCGTCTGAGCACGTTCAGCAAAGCACACAGCTATGAGGAAGTGCCACTTCCCCAGTCAGTCTCGGTTCTGCAATGCAGTCTTTGAAGTGCCACCCTCTGCAGGCACTAGGAATTTAGCTACCACTCATCCTGTGTCTCCTTTTCGCTTTGGGGATTTATAACTTTTCCTTCTGTCCTTTGAGGGGCTCTGGAGAGAAGAAATAACCTGAAGTACGAGCATCTGAGTGAGGATGAGCACAGGAAGTGGCAGGGCAGTGTGCTTGGATTCGAGCTCTCCTTCCCCTGAGGCAGCAGCAGGTGGCTTCAGCACTTGGGTCCCTGCCACCACATCCCCATTTGTGACTCACAGATCACACTAAATCCATTACAGCGTATTTGATCAGAATGATCCAAGTTCCACATCCATTACTGGATGCCTTGCTACCCACTGGCAGGCTCGGGGTCAAGTCCACATCCCCTGCTGAGACGAACTGCCTGCCTGCTCACCCAGACACAGCTGAAAGGGCGGTCCTTCCTGGGATGGCTGGGAGGCACCGGCCACCAGTCAGTGGGGCTGCGTTCTCCCTAGAATCTGAAGCAAGGCATTCCCACAAAAGGGCATCCAGTGGGTACATGATATGTTAAAAGCTACTCTTAAGCAAGCATGGAAAAGAATGGGACAGGGTGACAGCCACACTGAAAACCTAAGTGGCCCAAGAGGGCAGGAGAAGCAGCTGCAGTTGATGGAGGTGTACAATTTCAGCCACACATGTCCTCATTCCCCCCTCGCACCTCAGCTTCCTTCCTGGAGTCTCAACGCTGCAGTCTGGCCAAGCTGAGGGCCTCGTGTCCTGAAGGGGGGCTGCTTGACGAGCACGCCCTCTGGAGCCCTCCGCAGCCCAGCAGTCCCCTTTCATGTGAAGGAAGCATGCTAACACGGAAGGAAGGGGCCCAACAGGCCAGGCTCCAGGAAGCCCTGGGCCGACCAGCCAGGGAACAGGGTGCAGCACACAGGGTGGCAGGGAGGACAGCTCTCCGGGAGGAAGCTCTCAGAAGGCCAGAGTCGTGCAGGTAGGGAAGGGCTGGCCCAGGGAATTAGGCTGAGGGCACCTGCACTGAAGGGGGTGCAGAAACACTGCCAGGGCAGCCCAGATGGGGAGTGGGGCTGGGGAGATTCCTCGGCTGCTGAGGCAGAGGGATGGCCATGCCACTCAGCACCCCTGCCCATACACCTGACACTCAGGAGCTACAGGCACGTTGATCCTGGGACACTGAGCCTGCCACCAGCACCAGCTCTGTGGCAACACAGAACAAGCTCAGAGCTACTCAAAAGCGATTGTGTTTCCAGGAGACCAGCTTTGCAAAGGAAGAGTTGGAGAAAACGGTGCCATGAGGGTGCTTCATGAAGCTCATGGGGAAAAGAAAGTGAAAGATGAGTAGATTTGGGTGCCAACTCAAATCCAAGCATTCCTTTTCATAATACGCATCTTCCATGAACTTTAAGAAGACTAATGTGGAGTCTTCACAGTCTTCAGAATCCTCCTGCCACCTGTGGTGGGCACTGGACATGCCACACAGGAGGCAGCCTCAGGAGCTGCCCCTCGCCTGCAGCAGGCGAGTGCTGACCCTTTCAGACAGCGAAGGGAAGAGCTCTCACAGCAAGACAAACCGCACTGCTGACAGCCTGATTCTTGGAGACCCGTCCAGGCAGAACTGGCCATGGTCTCCCAGCATCTCCAGGAATGTGCCACCACTCCAGACAGCACTGCCCACCCTCAGAGAGGAGAGGCAGCCTCCTGAGCTGCTCTTGCAGGCAGAGCCTCTCCCTCCACGGAGGGTGCCCAGTAAAACTGCCACTCAATAGGGCAGGGTAGATACTGTGCAATAACTTCAAATAAAAATGGAAGTTTGGCTACATGTCCCGAGACTCGATGCAGGAACAGGAGGGCTTGCTCGGGACGGGCACACGCACTCAGGCTGGAGGGGGCCGAGGCCTGCCTTCCCCTGCGCGCAGCACGTGTGTCAGGCCCACTCTGTGGGGTCCACTTGAGTCAAGACTGCTGGAAGTTTCACCAAGTGCACAGCAACCTAGCAACTCAGCTGTGATGCTGCAGGGGAGTGCTGTCGACTGCGTGTGTCCCGCAAAATTCCGACATCGGAACCCCGATCTCAAATGATGACATCACCTGGACGCTGATTAGCTCATTCCAGCCAAGTCCTCGTGAGAGAGATTAGTGCCCAGGTAAGAGCTCGCCTCCCCTGGTGAGGACAGCAGGAAGGGACAGTCTTCTGGCACACAGACCTTCCCCAGAACCTGACCAGACAGCCCCACAACCTCAGCCAGCCAACCCCCAGAACTATAAGGAGCAGGTTTCTGGGTTTTTTTTTTTTTTTTTTTTTTTTGTCAGCCACTGTGGGCTGTAGCAGCACTCACCATGACCATTTTTGGCAGAAATTTCTGAAATAGTATTTAGCTTCCATTAAAGTACTGAATTACAGGGCCAGGCTCGGTAGCCTAGCAGCTAAAGTCTTCACCTTGCTTGCACCAGGATCCTATACGGATACAGTTTTGTGTCCCAGTGGCTCCACTTCCCATCCAGCTCCCTGCTTGTGGCCTGGGAAAGCAGTCGAGGACGGCCCAAAGCTTTGGGACCCTGCACCCACGTGGGAGACCCGGAAGAGGCTCCAGGTTCCTGGCTTTGGATTGGCTCAACTCCAGCTGTTGCCACCACTTGGGGAGTGAATTATCGGATGGAAGATCTTCCTCTCTGTATCTGGCTTTCCAATAAAATAATAAATCAATCTTACAAAAAAAAATAAAGTACCAAATCACAACGTAAATCCCTCCAATAAAACAGATCAATAGTTGAACAAGACACGGGGCTTATCCGGACTTGCCTCCTTCTTCACCGACGCTGGGAACGCCACCTACCTGCAAAACGCTGCTGTTGTCGCACGGTCTCTAATTACACATTCTTAAGAGGGTTTTGCTTTTTTACTTTCCATTTTAAACTAAAGTAAGAAGGCCAGTCTGCATATTTTTCAGACTTTAAAGATTATGTGACATACAAAAGATTAAATATTTACTATTGGAACTTTCACTGGAAACTTTGGCCAATCCTCTTATGGAAGCCACGCTGACAGTGTCACCTCCGTGGGATGACAGACCTGGCCAGGACAACACGAGAGCGTGGACTTGTTTCGCCATCTTTGGGATTCAGAGTTCCTAAACTGTGACCTTAATCCTACTGTGAAACAGGGCAGTGTCCACGCGGTCTGAGCTGGTCATTCACCGAGTGCTGGGGAGCCAGCGCAGTGCGAGTGTGGCCCTAGGTCAGTGAGGCGGCGTGCTCTGAGGAAAGGAGATGGTCTCACGTGTCGGCCGGCGGGAGCACTGTGCAAACACAGGGTGGCAGGGCCCAGGCCAGGGCATCTCGGACAGGGAGGAGGGCTAGCTGAAGGACAGATGACTTTCTTCACGGGCAGTTAGAGATTTCAGCCACCATGGGGACAAAGCCAAGGAAAATGTCAGGATGTTTCTTCTAACAAAAAGGCAGCCCATGCCATAGCTCTTCTGAATCTGGTACACAGCCAAGTTCAAGGAGCGTCTCCAAGCCCATGAACTAGCTCTGTACCTAGCAGCCCTGCCCTGTGCTTGGGGCACTGTGAGGGGTGCAGGGCTGGGCTGCCTGCCAGAGAGCGAGGAGGGGCTGGGTCTCTGAAGTGAACTTTCCAACGAGCCGTGAGTTTCTGGGTGTCAGGAGCTGTTGGCGGGCAGGCCGTCGTCCTCAGAGCCATCCACAGAGGTCTGGAACAACCAGGCCCTTCACCCCAATCTGGGCTGGACCCCTGATGCAGAGGGAGGGGAACAAGATGACTCAGCGCCTGAGGAATCCGGGGAGGGTTTGGAGGGAGGCTACGCACTGGCACAAATGTGGCAGCTGGAAAGCACAGACAGCTGGGTGTTCAAGGCTGGACTCACGGCCAGGGCCTGCACCCGCAGCAGGACAGCCCCAGCTCGCAGTCAGATGCAGTGCCTGCTGGCCCTGGCCCTGGGGCAAACCTACAGACCTGCACTGTAACCTTAAATGGCTCACACTGACCCAACAACTCCTCGATGACCGAGGTCATCTCCCCGCGGGGCATCCTTCCGGCACACGTGACAAGGTTCCTACAAGAGGCAGCTGCCCTAGGCCTCCACACAGGCCTCTCTGAGCACCAGGCCCCGCACAAGAGCCCTCCCTGCAAGTTTCTACTTGACCAGATGTGCAGATGTTACAGATGTTTGAGAAGGGACAAGGAAGGGGACAGCAGAAAAAGAGGAGATATATCTGAGAATTTTCTCTGGAAATTAAAACCAGTGGCTTGGTTCTGTGTCAGTCACGCATTTTCCCCCAGAGCGGCATCAGGGGGCGAGGACTCCGATTAGGCCACTGACCCACAAAGCAAAGCAAGCAGGAGTCCCCCGGAGCCCGGACAGCCCCCGGAACTCAGCAGCCCACTCCTGGGACCCCTGCTCCCTCACCCTCCCTCTCGGATTTCAGGAATGAGTGCATCCACATCGAAGCCTTGCAGGTTCCAAAACTGCGGGAGAAGCCGAAGCCTGCGCATCTGTAAGGGCTCGAAGCTGTGGGTCTGAGCTGTTAGTAAACCAGCCGTGTCTACATTCTTTTAACTTTCAGAATTTGATTTTTTTAAATTAAGAGGCAAGATTTGGATTAAACTGATTATTAAATCTCAAGTGAAATTAAGTCCCATCAGTATATCTGAAATGATGTATGCTTCATAGGATTTTAAGCTAAGCATTAAAAATTCATATAGCAGTTAAAAGTGATCAAAGGAACAAATGAGAAAGCACACATTTATATAGAACACAGCTCTATAAATGTCTTCTTGTAAAGGAAAGCAGCACAGACACAGCTGAGCTGGCTTCACCCCTTCCTTCCCGCCCATCACCCTGACGCTCATTATGTGCAGACAGAATTTACTAAACAATTGTCTAATTCAACACAGTAAGCATGGTTTTAAAAATCAACTAAAATTGGTTTTACAAGTCCCCCTGCAAGGGCCCTCAGCCCAGTCCTCTGCTACAGTTCCCCTCAAAAACTGCCTATAGGGCCTGACATGGTAGCCTAGTGGCCAAATTCTTGCCTTGCATGCACTGCGATCCCATAATGGGCTCTGGTCATGTCCCAGCTGCTCCATTTCCCATCCAGCTCCCTGCTTGTGGCCTGGGAAAGCAGTCGAGGACGGCCCAAAGCCTTGGGACCCTGCAACCATGTGGGAAACCTTGAGAAAGCTCCTGGCTTCAGATCAGCTCAACTCTGGCTGTTGGGACCACATGGGGAGTAAATCATCGGATGGAAGGTCTTTGTATATATCTGCCTTTCCAATAAACAGATCTTTCAAATTAAAAAGCAAACACGTGCCTGTGTGTAGTGGACTGCACACAGCGAGGCTGGGGATCTTTTCTGGCTGCTCATGGCCAGCCTGGTGAGAGTCAAATGCCAGGGTCCAGGCTGCACCCCAGCCCAGCAGTGGGGACGGGCCAGAGAGCTGCACGGTTTCAAGCCCCCCAAGCACCAGCTGCTCTCCCAGGAGTGAGAACCTGCATCCTCCCCCGCAAAGCAGCCTGGGAATGTTTGAAACTGAATCCAAAACAACCTGCTCCAATAGGAGCGCCTAACAGTTCAGCCGCAAAGCAGGCTGGGTGCCACCCTGCATGTGAGGGGCAACAGCAGCCACCTTGTCCCAGTCCCTCCCAGCAGCAAACTGCTGTGATCACACCGCTCTGTGTGTGTGCGTGTGGGCCAGGGACTATCCCAACATAGGGGCCGCATCCACCGTTAGCCCAGATGCACAGAGTGGCTGATGGGCTGCGTGGGCTGATCCTGGTTCCTGTGGCACTCAGTCCTGGCAGCCCACACAGCCCCACCGTGGACACGCAGGGCACTTACCGCCACGAACAGCATGCAGTACATGGAGAACGAAGAGTGGCCAGAGTAGAAGGACAGCCTGGAAGAGAAAGATGCCATCATTGTCCTCTGCCCACGGGCCCGCAGCTCCCTCCACCAGCCTGGGCACAGGACAGCGGGGCCAGGGCCCCTGTGGAGTTCAGGAAGGCCTGGGGTCCATCTCTGCATGTTCATTATCATGTCAGAAACTCTGAAGATGGGCAGGAAGTCAGAGCGGCCTGCCAAGCGTTTCTCCAGACGTTAGAGAGCTTCAACTTCACAAGCCCTAACTGGTGCTCATGGCCTTGACTGCTACATACGAATTTATGTGATAATTTTATGTCTTATTTTAACTTGCTGATTTTGCCCTGAATAGTGCAAGACCTCCCTTGGAAAGCTCAGGAGTGCCATACCAGAGGAACACATTAATATTCCACTGTTTTAAACAGGCGCACAGATTCGACGTCAGATGTGGCAGTGAAGACGGCTGCTTGCAACATGCACAGCCCTTTGAGCAGGACTTTGGGTCCTGGCTTCCCTCCGGATCGGTCTCCTGGTGATCCGCTCCATGGGCGGCAGGAGGTGTTGGCTCACTCACATGGGTTCCTGCCGCTCCCACGGGAGACCAGGTTAAGTTCTAGGCATTTATAACTTCCTGTGCTGTGGCCATAGGTAATTAATCTGGTAATTATTCTGAGCTTAATCTTCATAAAACAAAAGTCACTTTTTAGTCTTAGAGATCAGTATAAGTTTATTCTTGAATATGTATTTATCTTAATTTAAAAGGCAGAGTTAAGAGAGAGAGCTTCTATCTCCTGGCTCACTTCCCAGCTGGCAGCCACAGCCACAGGGCCAGGTCGGGCTGAAGTCAGGAGCCTAGAATCTCATGTAGGTCTCCCACATGGGTGGCATTCTCTGCTGCTTTCCTAGGCATCCTAGCAGGGAGCTGGATCAGAAAAGGAGCAGGCAGGTCCACCAGCCCAGCCTCAATCCGTACCTTAAGTGAAACAATTAGAGCAGAGTTCTGTGCACTGTAGTTTCAGTGAGTTTAAACTGAAGACTCTGCAAGTTAATCAAAGCTAGCTCGAGAATGACCCACACCACTGAGCCATCATTATCATGATCACAGGAGTGCTCCCAGAGCCAGGCAAGGAAGGGCTCATTAAATCCTGCACGCTGGGCCGTAAAACCGTAGAAGGCAAACTACTAGTGTGTAATTCTCATTTATACGTATTAATGTGGAAGGCAGAGAAACAGAGATTAGTCTTCTACCCCCACATTACTATTCACTCCCCACATGCTCGCGCTAGCCAGGGTGCCACAGCCCCAAGTGCCCGAGCTGCTGCTTGCCAGGGTGTGCGACAGCAGGAAGCTGGAATCAGAGGCAGGACCAGGACCAGGACCCAAACCAGGCACTCTGATAGGAAACATCACAGTGGTTAGCTGAGCTTACTATGCTGCAACACCCACCCTTCCGGCTTCTTGTAAAACCACAAAGATGGCAATGACTCCAGCTGCAGACCAGCTTGACCACAGGACTACCCGCACTAGGAACGCCAGTTAGCGGCGCTGGGAGGAGGGGCCCTGCAGAGGCCTGACACCTCGTCTCCCCGTCCTCTGGCCTCAGTCTTTTATCTGCCTGTTTCCGTGTGTATTTTTGTGTTTATAATAATATATTTATATACATACACAATTCTAAAATGTCAAAACAAATTCAGATTTTCTTCGGATGATTTTTTAAATGTTCATTATCTTAAAATTCAGTATATTAACTGCCACTGTTGTATGTAACAGAGTTAATAAACATGGTATTTTAATGGTGAGTATATGGAAAAGAGTGTTGTTTAAGAAATCAGATTTTAGGGGCAGGCACATGGAGCAGCAGCACATTGGGCCCTATCTGCGGCCTCAGCATCCTGTACCAGTGCCTCTTTGTGTCCCAAGCACTCGGGCCCCAGCGCCCACGTGGGAGACCTGGAAGAAGCTGCTGGCTTCAGCCTGGCCAAGCCCAAACCATTGTGGCCATTTGAGAGTAAACCAATAAGTGAAAGATCTGTCTCTAATTTCCTTCTCTCTATCGCTGGCTTTCAAATAAGTAAACCTTTTTAAAAATCAGATTTTAGAACCAGAATATCTCCCTCTCGAAAGGTACGTAGCTAAATATTATAAAATGATAAAGGAATTTAAGATGTCCCCATATTACATAAAATACAACTGGGGCAGGCACTTAGAATGGTGCTGAAGACATCCATATCGCACAGTGGGGGATCTGGGCTTCATTCCCAGCACGTGCTCCAATCCCCGCTTCCTGCCATCGCCCACTTGGGGAGGAGTGAGGATGTCTCATGGAACAGGACTGCGGTCACACGTGGAATAACTGGATGCGCTCCTAGCCTTGACCGCAGCCCCAGCCCAGTCACTGCAGATGGAAACTGTCTCTCAGATAAGATCACACACACACATAATTTTAAAACTACCAAAAGCTTATCTTACTTGTAGAAACCACTAGACTGAGAAATTACTAGCAACAAAAACCATGTCACACATTCCTTGAATTAAGTTTAACCAAGCCGCATTCATGTCTGTGTGAAATGAGACAAAAGTGACCATTCATATTAACTCAGCAATACCACATTCTATCATCAATTACTATATCATAACCACTAAATCTGTGAATCATTTAATGGATAATTACTGCCGACAGAAACTAGATTGTGAACCTCAAACTAGAAGGACCAATGCAAAATAAAGCTGGGGGAGGAGGGTAAGTAGTGAATGGCATGCTTGGGCATTTCAAACTCTGAATGCATGAGCCATCTGGTGACTGTGGGCACGCGCTCCTCTGCACCTGTGGAGGCACCAAGCACGAAGCAGGAGTCCAGAAAGCAGGAAGCTGCTTAGAAGGATCTTGAAACATCACATGCTTCTGGAAGGAATGCCAGCAGGGGAGCTCTGCGACCATGGCAAAAGATGAGGGAGACAGATGTGACCGAGGTGGCTGACAGAAGGACAGCAGGCACACAGGAGCTCTCGCCAGGGGAGGAGTTTCCTCTGACATTAGAGAAAAATCCAGGACGTGGTGGAGAAAGACCCCCAAGTTACCAAAGCCACCTTACCTCAGTCACAAAGGATACCAGGGACCAAAAGCAGACTGAACAGAAGGCACCCCGTCAAGGATTCCCACAGAGAAACCAGTGAGTACCTCCAGCTGTCTACGTAAACGTACTGAGCACAACTACCCTTTGTAAGGGAGAACACGGTGAGGCAGAAGGAAGAGACTGTTATCATTCACCTTTTACTTTCACTAATTTATCTTCATTCTATTTGAAAGGGAAAGACAGAGAGAGAGGGAGAGAGAGAGAGAGAAACCATCTACCCACTGGTTCTCTCCCGACATACCTGCAACAGCAAGGGACGGTCAGGCCAAGATCCTGAGGATGGAAGTCAGTGCGGGTCTCCTACACGTGTGGCGGAGACCCCACACCTGCTGCCTCCCAAACTGTACATTAGCAGGAAGCTGGATCAAAAGCAGGCGAGTTGGGACCAGGTACTTAGATATGGTGCATGAACAAACCAAAGAGCAGCTTCAGGCTGTCCCCAGGGCCCACCCCAAGAGGCTTGACTTACTTTCTCAAGTGTCTGGTAGTGTTTTTAGATGCAGGATTGCTAGCTAGAGGTAAGATTACAAGATTTCTACTTAAGGCATCACCACAGAGTGAACAGTGGTCAAGAAAGTTTTCTATAACCATGTGGCCAGTGCTTCTATGCCACCTGCAGATCAAGAAATTGCCACCAACTCTTGGTCACCAGGGTCAAGAAGGACAAGGAGGGCCTTTCGTCTGATAAAGAAATTAGCTCTGCCTTGAAGCAGACACTGTTGGTGGCAGGAGAAGAGCAAGAGGCCACAGGCATGCAAAATTAGAGCCCAGAGAAAGCTGGCTGGGCATGTCATTGCCGCTGTGTTCTGAGATCAGGTGACCTCGCTGCAGCTCACATCACCCCAAGGACCAGCAGAGCCCCACAATCGTTAGAGAAGCTTTTCCACCATGCAAACAAAAGCAGAAAAGCCACACTTTCCTCAGTATTCAATAGACGCATTCTTAACGTACAATTAGGTGTCGATTTCAGTAGATGGAGATCATACAGAAGGATAAGCTGAATGTTTTGTACAATTATAAAATAGAAATGTAAGCTCATTCCTCTTCGGCTTCAAGTCCCTCACTAGAACCACTGCTACACACAAAATAGCTGCCGCTGGCCCAGCGTTCCCAGCACACACACACACACACACTTCATGCTGCTGCATCGTGTCACCCCTGCCCGTCTGGAATGAGCATCCCACACTCCTTCAGCAATTACTCCTCAAAAGAAGGAGGGCAAACACGCTTCCTGCAGGATACCCTTCCTGCAATACTGCTTTACACTACCATCCTTTCTCCAAAAGGCAGAGAGCTACACAACTCAATGAGCACATCTCTGGTAGCTCAATGTCCTGTTACAGTCAGCAGCTGCCAAGACCACAGTGCCTCGCGCGGCCTCAGGGCTCAGCTTCAGATTCTGGTCTTGCCAATACATGCCCCGGGAGGCAGCAGGGGATGTGTTCCTGCCTCGCCCTGAAGAATTTTACATTTTTGTAATAATGAAGGAATCTAAGCAGCTAGACAGATCAGAAGCAAAGTAGCTGGCTCTTAAACCAGGCACTCTAATATGCCCCAAATTGTTAATTAACAACCGCACCAATCCATACCCCACACTTCAAAATTGTCAAACTTCATTTTCTCCCCCAACCTCACATGCACTAAGAATAAGATACCACTTCAACAGCACATCAAATAAAGCTATCTTTGCATCTGGACTTAATTAAATGCTATGTACCAATAAACTGTACAAGCACATAAGTGCCATGCACGCTAATGTTTTCCCTGTTGTGGTTAGAAATTTGGATTGCATCAAGGGCCAAGGAGCATCAGGAGTCCATGGTAACAGCCCGCTCCTGTCACACTCCTGCCAGACTTCAGGCACTGTGACAGAATCTGTTAACCCACACCCCCAGGACCTAACTCATTTGCCCAACATAACTTGCAAGCATCTGAATGTGTATAAAATGCCCCCAAATCCTTCTTACGTTATGATCTAAAGCAGTCAGATTAGAGTGCAGCAAATAATGCACGTAATGATGAAGCGACAGGTGGAGTCTGTTGTAAAAACATTTTCAAAGGTTCATCAGCAGGGCCCTGTATCGTGGCACCGCAGCTTCAGCTACAGTTTTCCTTCTCAGACAGGCACTGGTTTGAGTCTCAGCTGCCGAGCTTCCGATGTGGCTCCCTGCTTATGCACCCTGGAAGGCAGCAGCAGATGACCAAGTCCCTGGGTGCCTGCCACGCGGTGTGGGAGTGCCAGGTAGAGTTCCTGGCTCCTGGTGTTGGCCAAGACCCAGCTGCTGTGGTCATTTGGGAAGAGAACTAGCAAATGGTTCAATGTCTTTCACTCTGTTATTTTTCAAATAAACAACAACAAAAAAAATCTTTCCTAAAAACATAAACAGCACGGCAACTGACAAGTAAGGAGAACGGGTACAGCTCTGTCTTGAACTCTCCTTCCCACCACCTATGTGAAAATTTTCTAAATGTTTAAGGGAGCATTTCTGTCCTTCAGTAAACCCAGTCTTGAAAATTGCTTGTCTTAAATTCTTAAGTTTCCAAACATTACCTCAGAAGCAAAATATTGCAGTTGTAACAGATTACATAAGAAAAATAATGGCTAACATAACACAAACATAAAAGTTAGCCAATTCTATAATACTTTTCTCCAGTGCATATTTGGTAACTTTTTTCCAAAAAAGGCCAATAATTTTGTTATGTCTTCCCAAAGTCATTCTTCCAAAAAAGTGATACTAAAAGACCCCAAGCCCCTTCTGTCTGCTGGCAAGGGAAGGATGGCATCATGGGGCTCCAGTCCAGACCAAGGCACCGGCAACCGCTAAGCCACCGCTCCGTGAATTCACTATCCAGGAATGGCTGATGCCACTCACAGCAGATTTCTGGACTCCCCACCGGCTTTTGAAACAGTTGCCTCATTCCCTGGAAACACAGCAGCGCTGTTTCACCTGTTTGCTGCAGCTCAGCCTCGGCCTGCCTACCCGATCCCAAGCAGGCCCAACACATGTTCTGCTTTGCCATTGTGGGTCACAGTCACATCACCTGCATCCAGTTCACTGTCCTTCTCTCCCAGCTCACCTTCACGTGCCAGCCTGGCCTGCATTTCCAACAGCATGCAGTTCAAACTCCTTTGAGCATTATTCCAATCCTGCTGGTGACCTTAAACTTCTAGCCTACCTGCTTTAGATCATGTTGCCCCCTGGGTCCAAGGCATGCTCCCTTTCAATTCTACTAGCATCTCATCTTCTAAAATGCTTCCTTTAACTACAAATAACATTAGCAACCTCTGATTCATGTAGTATTGTATCTTTAAGACATGTACCACTTGCCGTCACATGTACTACCTTCAAACACATCTCCCACGGGAGCACCAGGCATGCTTTGGTAGCTCTGGCAGTGACCAAGGCAGAAAAGCCAAAGATATTAGTTGAATTCAACAATTTCATGAAACAGACTACAGTAGTGTTTCTCCATCAGCAACATCAGTACCATCTGGGAAAGCTCTAGAAATGTGCTGCATTGTGGCCCAGGGCGTTAGGCGGCTGCTCGTGACACTGGCATTCCATGTTAGGCCACTGGTTCGAGGCCCAGCTGCTCTACTTCCAAAAGCTCTAGAAATGCACATTTTGGGGGCCCAAACCCAGATCACTGAATCAAACTGTGGAGTGAGGCATAGCTTTTTGTACTTCCACAAACCTTCCAGGGGTAAATATCTGACCTAGTGGTTGGTTAGAAGATCCATATCCTGGATGTGATGGCTTAGTGGCTCATCCCCGCCTCGCATTCATCGAGATCCCATATGGGCACCCGTTCTAATCCCAGCAGCTCCACTTCCCATCTAGCTCCCTGCTTGTGGCCCAGGAGAGCAGTCGAGGACGGCCCAAAGCCTTGGGACCCTGCACCCACGTGGGAGACCTAAAAGAAACTCAAACTCCTGGCTCCTGGCTTCAGATTGGCTCAGCCGTGGCCATTACAGCCATTTAGGGAGTGAACCAGTGGATGAAACTCTACCTCTGCCTTTCATATTAAAATACATTTTTTTTTTTGAAACTTAAAACAAAAATCCTGGGGCATAAAAAGGTAGTTTAGGAGTGAGAGTATACTCAGTTGTCAGTCTGAAGCAGCACTCAGAATGGGGAGTCTGAAGGAGGCACTGGCCTTTTAGTCACATTTCCTTTAAATGTATTAGTGACTAGACTGAGACTAATGTCCTTTCATAAAATCGTCCATTCCTCATGTTAATATTTCCATCAGATGATGATTAAAAAGAGAGGCTTCTACTCACTGTTATACACATCCATGGAAAATTTCAAGAAGCCTGAACAAATACCTCTTGAGGCATAAAGGCTCACCCCGTACTATCAGATCACAGGAAACCAGGCAGCTCCAAAGGAGGTTTCAAATGTTCGAGGAAATTTTGAAATGGATTTTGAAATGGATTTTGAATGGATTTTGAAATCCATTCAGCTTCTCCATAATGCACACCTGCCATGAACCTTTTGAAGACACTTTATACGTATCAATGTTAAAACATTTTTTTGGCACCAAAATCAACTTGTAATCCTACTGCCACAAACTTTTCCGAGTCCCCTCATATTCTGCAGGAGTTCGTTGGTGCTCTCACTGTGTCTGGGCCCCAGGGGGAACATGCAGCCCACGTGGTCCTGACAGCAGTGACCACGTCAGAGCGCGCACACACGCAGGCAAGAAGCCTGTGCTGAAAAATCAAGAGAATGGAGAAAACTCAAAACCAGAAACCAAAATTGCAGGCAATATCCTCATGGCAACATGCAACTCTGACTCATTCACACAGTCCACAACAATGACTCATTTGGGTGCCTGTGTCCCACTGTCCCCACTGGTAAGCCGCCCACAAGTAAACACGTTGGTGAGGCTACCCAGTGCAGGCGAAACAGGAGCAGGTTATACCGTGATGGCAAGAGCCTACAGAGAATGCCCAGGTAAATATTTCCACATTTTTGGCTTCCTGACTTTTAAAATTCAAAAGAAAAAGACCACGGTACCCAATCAAACTATATTCCACAATAGAACCGGGATGTAAAGCCACAGCTATGTACCAATATTATACAGTTCTGAAACTGGCAGCAACTGACTCATTCTGGAAACACTGGTAGAAATCATATTTTTTCTAGGAAAATATAAAATCCTCCTAAAATGTTATTTCTACATTTGATTTTTTTCCTTTCTTCCTTCTGAAGAACTCTGAAGTTTAATAAGGAATACTGTCATTAAAGACCATTATTTTTAGTTGCTTTTTCTATACTCATACAGGACTTTGACGTGGACAACTGCAGGTAGATCAATGTGGAAAATTGACAGGCTGATGAATAAAAAGCCTACGTACACTTACACCGCAAGTGCACGCTAAGCTCCCACCTGCAATGCCTGCATCCCAAACAGGCACCAGGTTCAAGTCCTGGCCATGCCACTTCCACTCCAGTTCCCAACTAGTGTGCCTAGGAAAGCAGCAAAGGATGGCCCAAATTCTACCATGGGAGACCCAGAGGAAGTTCCTGACTCCTGAATTTGTCTGGCCCAGTCTGGGACATTATAGTCATTTGGGGAGTGAACCAGTAGGTGGAAGATCTCTTTCTCTCTGTGTAGTTATGCCTGTTAAATATATATATATAATTTCATTAAAACAGGTTAAAAAAAAAAGCAAGAACAAATCACATCTAATGTTAATTCAGATCGCAATAGAAACACTGGCTGCTCTCTCCCTCCTGTGGAAGGGCGGCTCGCCTTCCACACAAGCAGATATTTAACAACTCACCTGCCTTCCTTAACTTTCTGCGGATTCCCTCGACATATGTAGTTTTCGATGTAGCCATGACTGCAGTTGATCTGTGACCAATCAGGGTCACAAACATCCAAGAAGTGAGGCCGCAGCCTGCCTATCGAATACTTGGCAATGTCAGTCAGGGACTGACTAGCAGCTGCGCCAAACAAAAATGTTCCAATGGCTTTGTAAATAGTGGCTATGTAGTTATTCCTGATGAAGGAATTTGAATGCAAAAGGTTAAAGTAAACAGACAGGGTTTCTCCAAGAATCATCTGAAAAAGAAACAGAACAGTAACATGTTAATTTTAGCAAGCAAGCACCTACCAAACAGCAAAACAGTGCGTCACAATAACAGCTTTGTTTTAAACCCAGCCCCACCTTCCCTTGTTACAAGTGGCACATTAACCTAGGAGATCTAACTCGAACCCACAGCTGAAGGTGTCAGGTCAGCTGTGCGCACGGTTCACACAGCCCCCAGCGCTGAGACAAGCAGACCTTATTTCTTGTCCTATATTCAAACACCCAACACGACCAAACCCATGGCATGGTCTAAGGAGGCAAACTTCCCCAATCAGAATCTCTCTCAATCCAAGCCTGTGTCTCTATTTCTCTCAAGCATTTCTTTGAATAAAAGATTTTCATAATACTAAAAAGGATAAAACAACTTGAGAAAATTTAAATATATATATAAAACACAAAAGCCAAGCACTGACAGTGGCGCTGGAGAGCACCTGCTTTGGCCGGTAAGAGTGCAGCATCTGGGAGACTCCGTGCCACACTCCCGGGACGAGCCCGCCCTGAAGGCCCGACACATGCTTGGCACTGCCAAGGCAACACTGCCAACACCTCCCTCTTTTTCACTGACCTTTGTGAAACTTACTCCAAGCCTTCCCATAAACTATTTCACGCACTGGCCCCAGTAGTGTCTGTGTGCAGCAGGGGAACAAATCAGTGTGTAAACAGCCTCCTATATGTGGGGCAGGTTCATGAACCAGTATCCTGAGACACAGAATACTGAATGGCAACATTATAAACTGCATCATGTGCTGGGCAGGCTTTGTGGCGCAGCATGTTAAGCCCACAGCCCACACTGCAGTGTCAGTTCAAACAGCAGCTATCACGTTTCGCATACAGCTTTCAGCTAACGCCCCTTGGGAGGCAGCGGATGCTAGCCCAAGCGGGTGGCCTCCTGCCTCCCATCCGGACACCTGCATGTTGTGGGGATAGAGGACATGAACCAGTGGGTGCAAGTTCTCTGCCATTCAATAGATGAAAGTATTTTTTTTAATAACAATTTAAAAAGATTAGGACACACTCTTCGGTTACCCAAAACCTAAACACTGATTTAGAGCACAGCATGGGGCAGCAGGGAGAGAGAATGAACAAGTTTCACCTGAGAACTGGGTTCCCTGCTCATCTTACACAATTTCATAGTGTTCAGGCCAACACTTCCACTAAGTAAGGATCAACTCTCTTCATTCGGGCAAGCCTTGTCATAAGTGAAATATGTGGTTGCCTTCTAAATGGAATTTCTTTCCTGGTACATGGAATGGCTCTGAGAATTCCATAAACAGAATATTATACAATCACGGAGACTAAGACTCTGAACTCTGCAAAAGCAAGGAGGATTTGTTTGGAACACAGGTAGCACTGCAGGCATATGCCACGGGCAGGCGGTCTCCAGCTGAAGATGCTGCCTCCTGGGTGGAAAACAAGCTCCCTGAAACAGCCTGCCGAAGAGGCGACACTCACTGTGGTCCTTAACGCGAGTGAGCGCATCAGACCCTCTTCCCATGAGTCACAGAAGAGGAAAACCTTCTACTCGGGGTCACTGCTCAAATGCCTCCGGCCGTCCTTCATTACAGTATTTCTCTCTCAATCTCTCCCCTCCTCCTTTGGCCATTACAGGGTCCCAATAACTACTGACAAGGATGTCCTTTCAACATTTAATCATGGCACTGATCTTTGATAGGTAAAAGCAATGCAGTGTATTATTTTAGCAGCTGAAATGTACACATCTCAGCTGTCTGCTCTTCTTAAGTGCTCAACTAATTTTAGAAGCTGCTGTTAGATCAACTTATCCTTTTTTTTTTTTTTTTTTTGGAAAGCCAGAAATATAGAGGAAGATCTTCCATCCGACGATTCACTTCCCAAGTGACCACAACGGCCATAGCCGAGCCAATCCAAAGCCAGGAGCCCAGAGCTTACTCCAGGTCTCCCATATGGGTGCAGGGTCCCAAGGCTTTGGGCCGTCCTCGACTGCTTTCCCAGGCCACAAGCAAGGAGCTGGATGGGAAGCAGGGCCACCGGGACATGAAACAGTGCCCATATGAGGATCCCAGGTGTGCAAGGTGGGGACTTTAGCCACTAGGCTAGCATACCGGGCCCTCAGCTTATCTTTAAAAATATATATATTTATTTGAGAAGCAGAGTTACAAAGAGAAGGAGAGGCATGGAGAGAGATCTTTCATGTGGGAGACCTGGAAGAGGCTTCTGGCTCACAATTTCAGATCATTTCAGCTCTGGTCCTCCCTGGAGAAGAGCACCAGTGGAGGAAAGAGATTCTCTCTCCTCTCTGTACATCTGCCTTTCAAATAAAAATAAGTCTTAAGAAGCAAAAGAGATGATTTTCTATGCCTTGACACTGTCCCTACAATATTGTGTCTTTCAGAGCCTGCCTTCACAGGAGAACAATCTAAGATCCCTGGCATCTTCTCACGTCTGCCACTCCATCCTGAGCATCCCTAACTGCCTCCGTTCTCTTAATTCCTCTTTCTTCAAGTCACATTCTCATGAACCCTTGTTTATACTAATTTCACAAGTAGCATTCAACTGCACTAACATTTCTTCCTTACTCTGAAACGTTCTCGTTTTTTAAGAAACTATAGGAGACTACTTCAGAAAGATTCACAGACAATGGAATCAAAGATAAATTCATTCTGGGGGCTGGCACTGTGGCATAGTGGATAATACCACTGCTGGGGCCAGTCTGATCCAGTTCTGATCCAACTCCCTGCTAGTGGCCTGGGAAGGGTTTGTGCGCATCACACACATGGGAAACCTGACCCTCCTGGCTTCAACCTGGCCCGGTGCTGGCCATCAGGGACGTCGGAGTAACTCTGCACATGGAAAATTGCTGTCTCCCCTAGCAGCCCACCTCTGGCCCTCTGTAACTGTGAAAATAAATCTTGAAAAAGAAAAAAGATAACTTCATCCTATTTCCAAAAGTATTAGAATCTGTGTATACTTCTTTCATAATATACATTTCTATGAACTTTTTAAAAGATAATTATACATAAGAATTTTTAATTTTTTCAATACAATTCAATAATCCAATTTATCCACAAACTTTCTGAAATATCCTTATATTAACCCTACTTCTCTCAGATTCACTCACTTATATATTTGTGGTTCATTTGCAAGGTTTGGTGTGAAATCTGAGCCCATGATTCTCTTGGAGAAATGGCTTACTTCCTATTTAATCAATCACATACTCCAAGGCCTGCCTGAAAGCCGAGTTAATGAATAACCTGAAATGACTTTAGGACACAGAACCTCCGACAGGAGCAGAGCTGTCCATTAACAGTGCTGACATAAAAACAGTATTACAGCATCTTTAAACAGGCTGTTCCTTTTAAATTCATATTCATATTAGTGTGCCTGCTGTTTTATTCAATGTAAAGATAATTTCAACATGCAGGTTACGTTGAAATGGTGAGCACTATGAGTTGATGACATACAACGCATGAATTCTGTTGAAGCTTTCGTAAGCCCTATGTGCCATGCAGGCTGCACGTACCCGAAGGGCATCGAGCAGGCACCAGTCGGGCTCTGGCTCTGTGTGCAGCGCACTTTCTGCTGCTTAGCTCATGCAGCATTTTTTTTTTTTAACTGAGTCACAAACATAGAAGGAAAACAAGGGTTATTTTTAGAAATCTTTGGATATTTGACTTTTTCTGAAATCCATCACTACTTGCAACTATGAATTCTACTGGAAACTATCTGTCATAATCAACAGTCTCTTAAAAACACATATACTTAAAGCAAAGACTGGCATGGTGGCTCAATGGGCTAATGTCCCACCCACAAGTGCTGGCATCCAATAAGGAAGTCAGTTCATGTCCCAGATGCTCCACTTCTGATTCAACTCTGCTTATGGCCTAGGAATGCAGCGAGGGAGGCCTCAAGTCTTTGGGATCCTGGATACCAGAAACCAGGAAGAAACTCCTGGCTCCTGGCTTTGGATCAGCTCTGCTTCGACCATTGCAACCCTCTGAGTGAACAAGTGGATGGAAGCTCTCTGCCTATCCTTCTCTCTGTAATTTTGTCTTTCAAATAAAAATGAAATACATTTTTTAAATTATTTGTTTATTTTTTATTACAAAGTCAGATATACAGAGAGGAGGAGAGAGAGAGAGGAAGATCTTCCATCTGATGATTCACTCCCTAAGTGACTGCAATGGCCAGTGCTATGCCGATCCGAAGCCAGGGAGCCAGTAGCTTCTTCCAGGTCTCTCATGTGGGTATAGGGTCCCAAAGCTGTGGGCTGTCCTCAACTGCTTTCCCAGGCCACAAGCAGGGAGACTGATGGGAAGTGGAGCTGCCAGGATTAGAAACAGTGACCGTATGGGATCCCAGCACACTCAAGGTGAGGACCTTAGCCACTAGACCATGCCGCCAGGCCAAAAATGAAGTAATTTTTTTTAAAAAAAAACCTCAGCATAAATACTTGTCAAGATTAAAGGAATATGTGGTTTATTTTTTAAATATGTATGCTTTTATCTGAAAGGCAGATTTACAGAGAGAAGGAGATACAGAGATAAAGATCCTACATTCACTGGTTCACTCCCCCAATGGCTGCAGGACCAGAGCCGAGTCAATCTGAAAGCGGGGGCCAGGAGCTTTTTTGGGTCTCCCATGTGGGTGCAGGGTCTCAAGGCCTTGGGCCATGCTCTACTGCTTTTCCAGGCCACAAGCAGGGAGCTAGATGGGAAACAGGGCAAGCAAGACACAAACCAGTGCCCATATGGGAGCCTGGCACCACAGAGTAATTAACCTGTAACACCACCGTGCCAGGCCCAAATCTGATTTATAAAATGCTGCCATTCTATAGGAGTCATCAAATGTCACTCATAATTACTCCATTTTTTTTTCATTCACATGAATACACAGTATCATTCATCACCCAAGACATACCAGGCTCCCTGCCACACAGTGAGAACAATCAAGGTACCTGCTCTGCTATCACTGGCTGAGTCTTATGAAATACTTACATAAAACAGATACGTCGGCTCCACAGCCGATACAGCTCCTTGCCAATGATGCACCTGGGAGGCAGGCAGACGATGGCATGAGCACTTGCGCCCCTGAATCCCACATGGAGAGTTCAGGGCTCCTGGCTTTGGCTTGACCAAGTCTTGGCCACTGAAGCCATGTGGAGTGTTGGAGAGTTAACCAATGGGTGAAATATCCCAAAATATACATTTTCTCTTGCTCTGTCACTCACTCACTGTACTCTTCAAATAAATAAATCTCTTAAAAGTAAAAGTACCGGGCCCGGCGCGGTGGCACAAGTGGTTAAGGTCCTCGCCTTGCACGCCCAGGATCCCATATGGGCGCCGGTTCTATCCCAGCAGCCCCGCTTCCCTTCCAGCTCCCTGCCTGTGGCCCGGGAAAGCAGTTGAGGACAGCCCAAAGCTTTGGGACCCTGCATCTGCGTGGGAGACCTGGAAGAGGCTCCTGGCTTCGGACCGGCATAGCATCGGCCGTTGCGGCTCACTTGGGGAGTGAAACATCGGACAGAAGATCTTCCTCTCTGTCTCTCCTCTCTGTATATCCGCCTTTCTAATAAAAAATAATAATAATAAATAAATCTTTAAAAAAAAAAAGTAAAAGTACCACGGGATCCCATATGGGTACCAATTCTAATCCCAACTGCCCCACTTCCCATCCAGCTCCATGCTTGTGGCCCGGGAGGGCAGTCGAGGATAGCCCAGAGCCTTGGAACCCTGCACCGTGTGGGAGATCCAGAGGAGGCTTCTGGCTCCTGGCTTCAGATCAGTGCAGCTCTGAACATTGCAGCTCCTTGGGGAGTGAACCAGCAGACAGAAGCGCATGCTCGCTCGCTTGCTCTCTTTCCTTTTCTCTATAAATCTGCTTTTCCAATACAAATAGATCTTTACCCCAAAAAAAGTAAAAGCAAAAGCAACCAGGACAAAGCATTTGATAGTAACTTAAAAATCTGTGAAAATGTATATAATGAGAACACCATGCAAGGATTTTTTTTTTAATCTGTGTACCAAAATGAACTTATCTTTTCAATCCATTTTTCCACAAACTTTTCGAAGTATCCTCAGACACACTGTTATTTTGGTCTGTTTTCTGCATAGTACCATAATTTCTTCCCTAACATAAATTTGCTTGTAAATGTATAAATCACAGTTTAAAAAAAACTAGTAAATCAAAAGATTTTAGGTATTTCCAAGATGAGCAATTATAAATATAATCTGGTCACTAAAATCTCTAATCATCTTTGTGAAAAAGATTTCTTGAATTTTTTGAAAGACAGAGTTTCAGAGTGAAAGAGGCTGGGAGAGACAGATCTTGCATCTGTTGGTTCACTCTCCAAACAGCCACAAGGGCCAGGGCTGAGCCCGGCTGCAGCTAGGAGCTTCTTCCAAGGTCTCCCATGTGTTTATAGCAGCCCAAGCAACTGGTTCTTCCTCCACTGTTTTTTTCCAAGCACATTAGCAGGTAGCTGGATCAGAAGTGGAGCACCTGAGACTCGAACCATCATCCACATGGCTCACTGGCATGGCAGATGGTGGTATTACTTGTTATGCTACAGCACCTGGTGCCTCCTCTAAGCATTTCTAGCTGAAATACTACAAGAGTTAGAACCCTGTCTTGCCTTCAGCACCAATACAAGTTCACTTCATATTCACTGTGACTTATATAGGGAATTTTACTTTTTCTCTCATTAATGACATTACCTAAAAAATCTTTAAACATGGACTGAATGAAGCCTTAACAGTAATTAGGAAATTCTCTTTGCTAGAACCCAGTGACTAAACAGATTAGGCACACATACAGATATAACAAATTACAAAACAATATCTGTATAAAGTAAGCTAGAAACACACTGAAGACATAATATTTAACTAGTGGCTATACAATTATTGAAGCAACAAGTAAGTGCTCTAAAAATCAGTGACTTGGGGGAAAAAGACCAATTTACCTATATTTGGTAAGGTTGTCCTGATCATATAATTTGTTATTCTTTGAACCTCAGAATAATGGAGGCTATCTTAATGATATAAATGTACAATTAAATATTCTGAAACCACATTGTTTGAGGGTTGTACTGTTACATTTAATCATAACATAAAACAAAAGTTTATAAACTTGGAAAAGCAAATTTAACTTACAACGATAATACTGAATGGAATGATTATTCCACCTAATAAGGTATAAGATATGGTGTCTTCTTTGTAAGGATACATGATGGACTCATCATTACAGAATAATCCTCGCTGGAAAGGGGTATGCCTTGAAGAAAGAATTGCAAAAGGCAATCCAGCTAGCAAAAGGGAATAAACGAAATGAAAACAAACCATTAAAAAAGAAACATCAAAACTATTTAATGGCAATAATTATCCCAGAGACAATGTTTCAAAATGCATTTGTCATGACAATACATGAAAGCCCACAGAGAAAGGAAATGCAGCAATGCATGCAACAGAAGTGAGGGGGGTCACAGCCAAGGGAAAGGACGCCCTTTCCTACAGGAAGCAGCACCTGAAACGACTTGGCAAACAGCATCTTGCTCCCCCTTTTCTGCCCAAAGTTCACGACATGGATTTGGAGGGAAAATTCTCTTCTCATGCTCTTGTCATTTCATCACCAGGTTGTCAACATTGTTTCCAGGCCAGTTTGTCATGGACTTTGCTTCCAAAAGGAAAACATTTCAACATTTCCCCATTTTGTCCCTATTTGGACAGGTCATGGTCACATGGTTAGGCCACCAGCTTCTTAAAATTCTCCCAGACATTTCTGTTCAGTCTTCAGCATGTCTCAAGCTATGAAAGAGCGATTTGAACTTAAACTAAGTTTCTAAGGACAAGCAAGCAAGTGAAGCTTGAAACCACCCCACAGGTGGCTCTCTCCGTTTTCATCATCAATCTTTCCCATAAAGATCATGGTTCACATTTCCCTCCATAACTTTTACTTCAATGTGAACTTCACAAAGTCAGTTCTCCTTTCCTTTGCTGGACCTGGTCTGCTGATTAACACCACAGCACAAGCCAGTACTGCTTTGTAAGACTCAGCTGATCAGAAGCCCTGCACGTGGGAGCTGCTTTCAGAGCGATGACTAGAATTGAAGTCTGCTCCTGACACATGCTCCCTGCAGAAGCACCACAACCGCAAGGGCAGCACACTCACTACTGGGTCAAGTGCCGCCTCTCCATGAAGCAGCAAAACCTAAGGACCATTTATAGTTCTCTAACCCCGCAAAGCCCAGGACTGAATGATAACTCGCATCTCGCCAGGCTGCCACGTTGGACTTAACGACAAATATCAAGTCTGCTTAAATAACGAGGGCCAAAAATAGGGAAGCACATGAAATAGTTCTTTTTTTCTTCAAACATTGAATACAGGAACCAATATTTATTTGTGTTTAGCTAATCTGTCTATAGCTGTCAATGCTTTAAACACTTTAAGATGCTACAAAACTCATAAAGTCACACTTCCAGTAAAAGCTATACTTAAAAAAAAAATTAAACTTTGGGGCAGCACCCTGGCTTACCACGTTAATCCTCTGCCTGCGCTGCAGGAATCCCATATGGGCAATGGTTTGAGTCCCAGCTGCTCCACTTCAATCCACCTCACTCTCACTGGCCTAGGAAAGCAGCTGAGATGCCTCAAGTTCTTGGGCCCCTGCACCCAATGAGAGTGGAAGACGCTCCTGGCTTCGTATCAGCTCAGCTCCAGCCACTGAGAGGATGATTTAGGGAGTGAAACAGGAGATGAAAGATCATTCTGTCTCTCCCTTTCTGTGTCAATCTGTTTCTCAAAATTAAATCCTTAAAAATTTTAAATAAAGCAGACTTTACTAAATGTCCTTATACTGTCCTGGAATCAGAACACCTTTCTGAATCACTGGACTGGTGGCATTCCAAGGAATGAGGTGACAGATCCAGCCTGGGCATACACACCCTGGTGCACACAGCTGCAAAGGCTTCGCAGGAGCACACAGGACATGGTTCACAGAGCCATGGTTCTAGCTGGTGCCTGTCGTCCACGGTAACTCAACACCTAGCCACCCACCAGCCACCAGGTGGTAACCAGACGGGCAAATTCACTTTCTATTTAGAAAGAACCACCACTTCTGTATCTTTAACTGTTAAGAATGGTATACGAAATAATGGTAACTTTCACTGTTCACAAAGCACATTTCTGAATTGGCTGAATTTTCCAATAAGCTTCTTTTTCATAAAAAAAAAAAAACTATTTAGTACAAAAATTAAGTCTAGTGATTAATGTCCAAAACTCATTAGGTTTTATGTTTCTATTCTCTGAGAAAATTCATATTACTGGGCCCCAAACCTACTGAAAAGTGCTACCCACACATATGGCCATGAAGTTAAAGGTTTTCCCCCACTTTGATCACAAAAAGCATGCAGGAAACTATTCTTGAATGAAGGGGTGGGGGTTGTATACATTTTTTAGAATGAGGAAATAAATAAAATCACAGTGAATAAGAAACAGCCCATTTAAAAAAAGTCACTCAAGTGAATTCACCGTACGAAGAATTCTGCTAGGTGCTACCAGGAATGTAAAGCCGAGGAAGGCACAGAACCTGATGACGACAGGGATTAACCAGAGGTACGAGGAACACTGAGGGGCTCCCCGACCGGAAGCTCAGGCGAGGCTTTAAGTAGTGACAATACTGTGACTCTCATGAATCTGAATCTCAGGAGAAATCCGGGACTGAGACAGAAATTGGGAGCTGGAAAAGCTCTCCGAAGCGCAGGGAGCCAAAGCACTGTGCAGGCTGACGGCAACAGCCACATGGCTAAAGGCAGCGGAGGGGGCAGCCCCGGAGGCCACGCAGGTGGCTCCATCCCAGACCACATCGCAAGGAGAGACCCTCTGTGGTGCCCAGGGTCTGCCCAACAGGTTTTCCTTTTTTGTTTTGATTTTTAAACACCTGTTTGAAAATCAGAGTTACAGAGAGAGGGTGAGAGAGTTCCCATCGGCTAGTTTACTTCCCAAATGAATACAACAGAGTTGGGCCAGTCTGCAGCCAGAAGCCAAGAGCTTCATCTGCGTCTCCCATGTGGGTGGCAGGGGTCTGAACACTGTGTCCAGAAGTGAAACAGCCAGATCACAAACCCGTGTCCAGAGGGCATGCAGGTATTGCATACTGTAGCTTTACCCACAACACCACAACACCAGCCCCCTCCTGTAGATGCCTTCTTAGTAAAAGAAGTATTAATAAGGAAATAAAGGCAGAAACCAAAACAGAGGTTGTAGGGAGAAATAGTAAGAAAATAAGCATGAACCCACCACAAATGCACAGTTCTTTTCATAGCATGCGTTGAAGAGGCGACATCACAGAGGACCTTAGAAATACCGTTAAATTGATAATCAGTATTTGCCAACTTTATGTAAGTCCGTGAAATGCAGCACATCACCACCTATGCTCCATGCCATGTCACTTTCACTAATTAGCTTAACCTGAAGACCCCAGAAAGCAAATGGGGTTGGTGAGAGGGGACATCCCCAAACTTGAAATTGTTCACTAATTCACCTAAGGCCCCAGAAGATGAGTTTGTTCAGATTGCTGAGAATTCTGGAATCAGACAAACAAGCCCAGTTTGCCAGCAGCACTGGGCCGTGTGGGAGGAAAGCTGGCCAGAAACGAGGCTGAAGACAAAGCGAGCCTGCAGACAGAGAGGAGGGGACCAGTGTGGCCCCTGGGAGCGCTCACCAGAATGCAGCTTTTGTGCCCAGTGCCAGGAGACCTGGTTTTATTTCCGATCCTGAGGGCTCTGTAAGCTCTTTCAACAGAGTCCAATTGTATTCAAGCTGGTCGGAAAGGGTTTCCACTCCTCATAACCAAGAGAGACATATCTACAACAATCACAATTATATCCCTTCTACAGGAGGTATTTTTACTTTTTGACTACCTTATACATGAAGGAACTTTTTAAAAAATCCTTGGAATTTAAATTAAAAGATAATTATTTTCCGCAAAAGAATTCTGAACCCCACGCATGAGGTGTCTTCACAAGTTAATGCAAAATGCATGTTATGAAAACCATGCACAGATTTCAAACACTGCTTATAGTGAAATAAACGTTTGTCTCAATTCTATTTTTAAAATTTGATTCTTGTAAAGCTATAGTGAGCATTTCCAAACATAAACCACTGTTTTTTTTTCTTTTTTAAGATTTATTATTTTTTTTTAAATTTTTATTGGAAAGGCAGATATACAGAGAGGAGAGACAAAGAGGAAGAGCTTCGTCCAATGATTCACTCCCCAAGTGAGCGCAACGGCCAATGCTATGCTGATCCGAAGCCAGGAGCCTCTTCCGGGTCTCCCACGCGGGTGCAGGGTCCCAAGGCTTTGGGCTGTCCTCGACTGCTTTCCCCGACCACAGGCAGGGAGCTGGATGGGAAGTGGGGCTGCCGGGATTAGAACCGGTGCCCATATGGGATCCCGGGCGTGCAAGGCGAGGACTTTAACCACTTGCGCCACCGCGGGACCAAACCACTGTTTTCATATCTAGTCATTCCCTTAGAGTATATTTTTATGTGGAATTAAAGGATATAAACATCAAGAGCCTTGATAAACTGCTCTGAACAAGGCTGTTATACGCCCCCCTCCCCCGCCACTTTTCCAGCAGCAGTTGTACTCCAAAATAGACATACAAAACTGTAGGTAGATATCTGCTTTTACCTTTGACAATTACATCAGACCACAAAGCAAAAGTAAAAGGGCTCTGTCTTTATCAATTCAAATCAAAAATTTTCTTTTTAAAGGTTACATCTCTGAAACAATCCCTTTCATCTTTTCTCAAAACATCACACCTTTGTCAAACAATGGTGCTCTTAATAGTTCATCTGGCAAATTTATTTCTATTCCTCCTGCACTTAAAAAACCCACAAGTTCACTGAGGCATAGTTTACAGACTATAAACTTCAGTACGTAATTCAATTACATTGGTAAACGTACACAAGTGTCCAATACCGCCACAATCTTATTTTAGAACACATTCAGCGCCCTCAGGATTGCCCTGAGTGCACTTAGATTCCATCACTAGTTCCACTGCCGATCCCAAGGCAATCACCCATCGGCTCTGTGTCCACAGACCAGCCTTGCCTGGCCCTATCAATGGAAACCCACACCGTGTGGGATTCAGCACGTGGCCTTATCATTTCACATAATGTCTGAGGTTTATCCATGCGGCAGCATGCACTTCGTTCCTTGTCACTGCTGGCCAGTGTTTTACTATATTGGTGACTATCTGCCACATTTGGTTTATGCATTCTCCAGTCATTGCACATTTGGAA